ATATATACCATATTTCACGAAAAACGAAAAAATAACCTTTTTATTTAATTTCATTATCAAAGAAAAATGGTTATGAACACCATGATTGCTTGCTACACAACTGCAATTGTACAGCGCGCAGTAATATAATTATTGTCTTGTTTTGCACGCGATATTTAGCGCTACATTGTGACGTCACGTAAACAACTCTTTAAACGTCTGTACAGCGTAAAAGACTGAATTAAAGATATTGGTGTTCGGATTTATTTTCTTAGTTAGATCATTTTCTATCATTCTAGATAGTTTTCAAAACAAAATTCAACAAAAAGTTGTTATTTATTTATCAGATTTTTTCAAACAAAATGGCGAAAGAAGTCCCTTAAAATAAATATGAGTTTTGACTCCTCCCACTTTCATATTTATATTTCATATTTAATTTTAAAAAATATGAAATATATTTGACTGATATAGCACCATATTTCATGGGTAAAATTAGATAATATTTCATATCCTTTCAACCATATGTTATTCATTTAACATAAAACTACATCCACATGTAGATTATTATAAACTTGTAAGTGTAACCTATCATTTTATCCTAAAAACAATACAAGTCATTACATATTTGGATACTTCTTGTGCCTTATAATGGAGCCTCAGTCAAGAGCTTTATCATGCTTACATTAAGAACATACATACTTCAAGAAAAAAAAGCATTTTTTAAAAAATATTTTCTACATTTTTCTGCAGTTTAATCAGGTACATAATGTATAAAAAATATACCTGATAATGCAATTTGAATTATTTGATATTATCTTTATAAAACTATTCTGTTTGATTTGCTATCAATTAATCAGTATAGTTGCTAGTATGCTGCAAACTGTGCTGAAAATAATCTTTTTCCTAACCCTAAATAAGTAGCAGTCTAAGTGCGAATTAATTAGAAAATTGAAGAGTATATACTAGCCACCATACTGAGCAAGGCCTGGTGTCTTCATGTCTTATCATGACAATGTGAGATAGCTGCTAGCACAACTTTATCATGTCTAGGATTTCAGGATATTTATGGACAGTGTAAATTTATGAATTATTATTATCCATTATTTCTAATTATCTGTAAATTAGCATTAAGTATGAAAATAGAAGATGTTCAATGTATTAAAATTCAAAACCGCAAGTTAAAAATAATAAGATTACTGGTTTTATGATTAAATGTAGCAGTATGGTAAGATTTCGTGCAATTTGGTGACCTTCTTACAAAAATTTCAAAGTCATCAAAGTTGAAACTTATCTCATTACCTTTGTAAATGTACACAATGTAACAACTTACTAAAGCTGCAGATTTTCTTATTAAAAAACAGCAAATTTCACATTGAATGCCTGTAAATTTATGGATTGAAAAATATTTAAATCTCTAGACTATCCATAAATTTATGGCCTGTCCATAAATATCAAGAAATTCTAGACAGTCCCTTTTGTAAACAGATGACTGTTATCTGCTAAAACTAAAATTTTGCTGCTGGTAAAATTATGGGACTCCGTATTATCGGCGTACTTAACTTTTCCTTAAGTTTACATTGAATGTCATTTGATGAATTTAAATATAAAATGTCTGTGACTGAAGGATCATTCTGATTTACTTAAAACATAAATTTATCTTAGATAACAAAAAGTATAAAATGTGTGAAAGACTTAAGAACAAATTCATGTTTACAAATGAGAGTGACTTTCGTACGTTTTCCAAAACATAAATACAGATTTTGACTATTCTCGGTTTTCACGTGCGCTCACACTCGTCATGCTAAATGCCGTTACTTCGTACGTATCGCACCGTGTTTAAATAGAGGTGTATTATTGCGAATGTTAGCTGTTTATCGACTCAAATATAAATTAGTTAGTCATGAAAAGATAACAAGCAGATCTTAACATTTTTTATGTAAAATAAAAAAAAATATAACATTTTAGTTTTTTTACGTAGCAATGCCTCTGATACTGATAATTTTCGTGCTTATGTTTAGATTATTCAGTAGAAAATTAATGTTATGATAATAAACCAAAAGACTTTCTAAACTGCAATAGTGCAGTTTCTTATCCGTATAAAGTAAGTTAAGAATTTAGACTTAGAATTTAAATTGCTATATATCTTTGTGCATTCTTTCTTATAAATGACCTAATGGCGAAGAAATGCATGAATAACTCAACCAAACCTTAGGATTCCTACGCTGAAACATAAAGGTTAAATCCCAATCCATTAAGTCCGTTGCTTACCAGACGTTAGTCAGACCCCAGCTTGAATATGGCACCGAAGTATGGTCTCCCCACACCAAAATACAAATATATCAAATGTCCAAAGAAGAACACCCCGATGGATTAAGCTAGATTATGGTCAGAATTTTAGCGTCACGGACATGCTTCACTCCCTTGAGCTTAGAAAATAGGAACTCAGACGTATAGATAATAGGTTATGCCTACCATGTTCTGGTTGCTATCCCCATAGAAGAATATTTGACACCCCTCTCCCGAACATCACGCCATGGCCATCCCTTAATTATGTTATAGGTTATTCACAGCAACTTCAGGCTATTATAAATTCTCATTCTTTCCTAGGACGGTATATCACTGGAACCACATACCCCTTGCAGTTTCCCTACTCCCTACCCCAGAGCAGTTCAGTGCAGCCATAGCTGGCATCGAACATGTATCCCCTAGTTTTCCAGTCCCAGTTTTTAACATTTCTAAATATTCTTTTATCCCCTTTTAAACAACTATTTTTAACTTTCTTGCGATTTTTGACGCGCAGACATGTCTACGTCCCCATGAGGCTTTGACATTAAGGGAAGATAGATATATAGATAAATAATTCACCACGAACAATGTTCATTGAAACAACTATAACAAAATGTATTTAGCAATAAAAAAAAGAATAAAATGGACTTTAAGCTGTGCTCAGTGTCTTTAAATATTTATTCATGTATCATATCTTTAAAGAGTTAAATCTAGACCATTACGTTTCAATGATTTCCATATCACATATACTACAATACACATACGTTTTTCAGCTGAAACCAACACACGGGTACGACACTTATTCATGGGAATGTATGTTATTTGGCAGGAGAAACAACGCAGAACTGGGAACTTGTTAGTTTCTGGGTGTTCAGGGTGCTCTGTTTCACGGAGTGATTTTCTGTTTGGTAGGACACTAATAATTACTTGAACCCATGGAATAATGCTTGTTTTTTAAACAGTGTCCATACATATTGTATGCTGTTTGGAAATAATAACAAGGCTTGGTCATCTGTTAATTAGGCAGTAGGGACAACAATGATCAACGAAATCACATGGGACAAAATAAGTTTAGGAATTGTATTATATAGTGCAGTGGAGATAACTTGAATCCATGACCTGGTATGTAGTCAGTAGTTGACAGTGATTTTGATCCGATATCAGGTTATTGTATGTAAACTAGTGGTGCACTGACATTTATTTATCTTATATTAATTATCACCCAACGGACATTTAATCAACGTTTATTTTTTGTGGATTATAAAATCTTTTTGAATGTATAGCACAATGGAATAAGTCAAGCATATTCATATTGTAATAAAATAATACACGTCTACGTACTCGTGAGGGTTTTCACATTATTGAGAAAAAGAATGAAAGAAGCTTTTGTTGTTTCCCAAAAATCTGGTCATACACGTCACATTGCGGAAACAACATACAGAAACTAATTATGGTAGAAACATTATTATGCAAATATATCTACAGAAATGTAATTTTAAATAAAATGCCAAGTCAAATCTTATTTCTCTAGAACATATTTATGCAAAAAACAGGAGACCCTTCTTTTGGCATAAATAGTGCTCCATTTTTATGGCATGAAAGTCAACAAAATTGCCTCCAATTAGATAAATAATCGCCATTGTTGTTAAAAATGTCTTTAAAAGTAAACTTAATTATTTACTCTTGCATAAAAAACTGAACTCGCATGTATACATTAAATAAGAAGGAAACTCACATAAACGGATAAATCACGTGAACAAAATATAAATTTGACCTAGCACGTGGAAAGCATGACAAAATTGTTTCTTTACCCGGAAAGCAGATAACAAAACACGGATTTACCAAGTTAGGCGCATATTTTTATGCAACAATAGTGCTAATACACATTTTTCGTGTATTTATAACCACAAAAGCCGTCAAACCTATATATACTCACCATGTAGGATCGTGCTTTAATGCGTCCTCGTGCTTCTGTAGATGTTATAATATAGTTCGTTATGTATTCAGCCATCACTGCACGTACACTATGATGTGTTTTAAACATCTAATAACAACAGTTTACCAGGAAGAAAGACCTAGTAGCTGTATTAAATATTTGAGTAATAAATAATCGAAATGGAAACTAAGTTGTACATTGTAGCTAGACACGGTAAAGTTATAAATAAAGTAAGCTCAGTTTGATTCAGTTTGTTTAACAGCAAAGAATTTTCTAAAATTTAGAGTGGATATGATGAAGTTAAAGATTTAGTAAATATAACTGATTGGTAGAACATGTCATCCTTAATAATATCTTCGAAACATTAATTTAAAAATCTTCATTTACATATTTGTGTAATATTCTGTGACCGAGAAGCAAACTCGTGAGTCAAAGACACATCAAACACTTAGCAAAATAGTTTTAAATAAGGCAAAATCTTAATAATTAAGAAACATTCGGAAAAAACACAAAGTATCACTTGGAAAACTAGCAAAACAATACCTGATTTCTCACATTTTAGTAAAAAATAAATTGTATACTTAAATTTTAAAAGCCTCAAATACTTGTGTAATATTTAAATCTTCTTAGCTGATAAATACACATAGATTGTTTGCCTTTTTGGCCCTTAATTGTTTATTTAATCGTTTACGAAAAGAATATAAGTAAATTGACAATGAATAACACGTGTATTTTATAATTTTAGTACTTTAAACCTAAATCCATTTTATTACATTGACCGGAAAAAGTACGTATTTCAACAGACTTTAGCGAAATTTGAAAAGGAAGTAGGAAGAAAGAAATTCCCTAAAATTTTTGCGACATAAAAATCTCGAAAAAAAGATGAAGTGTTTTATTTTATTTGTGTTTTTTGGTGCCGTTATTAACGGTGTATTATCAGCTTCAACATCTAAAGCACCTGTTGTCACCACAGACAACCCCAGTACCACACAGAAAACTACGCAGAAACCAACAGGTAAGTTCACGTCACGTTACGCCTTCCTGTCTGAGGATTCCCTGACAAATTTGCTGAAGGATGTATTTGATCAACTAATATCTATTGGCTGTTGTGGTGGTGTTGTTAGTTTTCACTCCGGATCACGGCAGTAAGCCACATTGAATTTACCAGAGCTCTGTTCGAATCCGGGTCAGCTCGGCCCTAAAACGTACTCGGCCCCCGAGTCAGCTCGGCCCTGTTCCAACTCGGCACGGGTCAACTCGGCCCACTTTTTAATGATTAATATTTAGGTTTGTGTTATCACTTTTTATTGTTATTATTGTAATTATTTATATAAGACAGTTTCAGAACTAGCAGCAGACAGGCTTCTCTTATCAGTATCCTAGAGTCATTAGTTTTGACGCCCTTAAGCTGTTTAACTAGTGCATTTCTTTATATGGAACTTGATTATTAAATAAAATACTAAATAAAGCAACTATGGCATGTTGTTTATTACTGCAAACCATTTTTATGTTTGTTACAAGTTCAAAATCACTCATGTTTTGTAGTGTACTTATTAATAAGTTAATAGACCGTGGAGGCATCCATTGTTGTTTACAGTCATACGAAATGACGCCTTTTGATTGGCTGGCTATTTTAAAGGATATTTCACTGTAATGTAATATGTACAGGAAAAAGAAGTTTTTAAATGAGCAAACCTGCAAAGTAACAACATCATGAAAACTTAAAATTATATTATATTTCATATAAAACTATCCATTATTTAGGAATGCCATACATATACCCTAGCATTGGTCTTAATAAGTGCACCTGTCTCTTTCACCTTGAATGCATTTACTATTACCGTAATCTTGATGAATAGCATCTGTATTTGGCTTAAAGGGCTGAAAAATATATCTAAAATGAATGATGTTGTACAGATATGTATATGTTTATTTGAAAAATGATTTTTTTCTTTCTTTTTTAAACTTTATATACAATAATTAATCCATTATGAATTTTACTCAGTATCAATTAAAAACCAATTGTCGTTTTCAAACAATATAAGCTGTACACCTTATGATACAGTGAATATTAAGGACACTTTGCAAAGTTTTGGTCACATGACACTCATTAGACATTTTAAAATGGAGGATAGAAACAGAAAAGGGCAGGTCAAGATTTTTCAAAGGCTATATTTGCAAAATTATGGCTTGCATAAACATCAATTGAATTTGCATTAGTAAAAAGATGAAAAAATACAGTACATATGATAAAGGTGAAGTATTTTCAGTGAAATATCTCTGTCTTTCCACATGTTTTAGTTATACGTTGTAAATACATGCTTGCAGTGCAGTCAGCAAATTATGACGTCATACGAGGTCGTTTTCGTCATTTTTTAGGTCAAAACAAAAATGGCGTCAAAATAGATGAGCGTCAAAACACATGACCCGACGATAGAATTGCGAGTAAAGCGTTGTATTTCTGACTCGTGGTAGTTTTAACCGTAAATTTAAAAACCTTCAGTGTCAAACAATGTGTTGAAATATATACTGAGAGGAAGCTAAGATCACCAGCTTTTAATTGGTGTAACAAATTTTAAAAATCGGACATTTATTCGCCCCAAACTAGGGATTTAAGCACGGCTAAATTTGCATTATTTTGCAAGCGAAGGGACACTAAGGGAAACAAGTGTTGCTTTTTCACTCAATATACCTCGTTATTTACGTAGTTCGACAGAGAGAGCTTATAAATATAAGACAAATAAATAACAATTTATTTCTAAATATACTTTATTTCGGCAGAAGTACAATGTATTACTTATAATAATAAGATATTTCTTATTATTCATTTACCTTAACAACATGCAAAGCAAGGTTAATACGTTATATATATTTTTGTAAAGTGGGCCAAGTTGACCCGTGCCGAGTTGGTATAGGGCCGAGTTGACTCTTTTCCCTCTGTTCCGGCCCCACAGTTCGTTGCCTTCGCATCGTTCTTGGGCAGGCTGTCAAGCAGTTTTCCAGTAATAGTTGCCTCAACTTTGCAAGGAACTGAAACAAACTTTTGTACATACAAGAGCAGAGGCTCATTGCCAATGACAGTAGAAAAGATTTTGTGATCAGTGAATCAAACCAGGGTCGCCCGATTCAAGTCCATTACTCCAACTCTCTACCAATTGAGCTAACCGAATGGCTCATATCTATTGTCTATCAATGTTTATATACAGCAACACCCTCTTTCGAGTATTATGTGCAGGTGCATGTCTATGCGAGAGTTTAAAAGAAGAAATGTAAAGGAGAATAAAAGTAATATTGTACATGTATTTGTGAGAGTTGAAATAAAAAGTTGATAGTGTTAGTTTAAAAGAGAAAATATATCCACATACTGCCAGTTTTCAATCACAACCACTTTTCAATCATCCCTGGAAATTCTTTATTTTTGACCTTATTTGTCATATAACCAAACTGTAAGCACATCTTGTATTTACCTTGACTACATTTATCAGCAGCAATGTCAATTATGGTGTTAAAAAAGAAAATAACAGTATTTTAGTTCAAAATATGTAAAATTTGTGTTTTCCACTAATCCTTTATTTACCCAGTTACAAATCGCAATAATTTTCTAAAAATAATTGATTTAAAGACTCAGTTTTTTGTCAGTCTGCAGAAATGGATATTAAGTTGGACAACTGTTTCAATATAATTAAGTTATAATGTATACTGCTCTTCAAAAGCTATAATTTTAATATGTACATATTTTACCTTACAATTCTTAATTGGAAGGTAATACGTCAGTAAACTAACAGTCACTTAACCAAGGAAAAACATTCTCTCCGATAACTTTTCAGAAAGCTGTCACTAGAATGGGGTCATATAGACCCTAAGATCCTAAAAATTTCACAAGAACATGCTTTTTCTGTTGTGCACATTGAGAATACATACCCCAATTGTGACAGCTTTACTACTGCAAAAAGATATCAAGATTGAAAAATGGCATTATAAATTTGTTAAAATTGTTTATTACCATTTATCTGAAGTTGAGTTTGTCAAAATTTCTTCAAAATACATAACTGGTTATATTTTAACATTGTATGACAATTTTTATGTGGTACCGTGTATATTTTGTTAACCTTTTCCCTTATATAAGCGTGTTTCGACGGCTCTTTGCCCCCCCCCCCCATTTTGAGGCCTCAAACAGTGAGAAAATGCCCTATTTAGGCCCCAAACACTGTTTTTCGTTTGAGAAATGTTGTTAAAAAAAAGTGACCACTTTTTCAGCCCCCTTCTGTTTGGGGGGTTTGAAGGGAGCGGAGTGCCCCTCATCGCCAAGAAAATTTTGGACATGTGACAGGCTAAAAATGGCCTCAGGTCGATCTTAGGGTAACTAGTAACCGACGCTGAAAAGCCTTTTACTCTATCTCAATTCATTGAGAAGTTGCAGCACTTTGAAATCAGTTTTGATGGAAAAAAACAATGCAAAATAGTGATTTTTGGCAATTTTGAGACGTCCCCCCGTTGCCATGGTAACAGGAAATTTACCATTGAGCATGCTGTTACATAGGCTATGGTGTAGTCAACATTTGTGCCAAGTTTCATTAGTATTGAAGCATTTTTCATAGTTTCATAGCAGTTTGGACTTGTAACAGGAGGCTTTTCAATGAAAACGGCCATTTTTCGCAATATGCTCATGGGGGAAAAGGTTATTTATAATAACTGATTGAAAAGTGGTTGTGAAATTTTGAAGTACAGGAAAATGGGTCAGTAATGATTTGTCCTCGATTCAAAATAATAATTCAGGTAAAATTTTAAAAAGTTGTTGCAATTATTAGCTGAAATGATATTTGCAGAATTTTAAGAGAAATTTTATTTTTATATTTTCACTGTCAGTTATTAAAGAAAAACATGTTAGCTGATCGGAAAGTGGCAGTACAGGGATACAGCTTAAACAGAAAAAACAATATCTTCAGTTTAAACGTGGTGGGAAGTGGTCACACTCTGTTTAAAGTGGTAAAGGGTACCTAGTAGGAAAAAGTAGCAAATTTTGTGTGACTTGTGTTAACTTTGTTATTTATTCTTTTAAGCATTTGATTTATACATCACAACACTTATTGCAACCCCAAAATGTTGAGTAATTCAAGTTTGACCTTGCTGTTAAATTGACCTTGACTGTCTTAGTCTTTGATGCCAATTACCATAACTTTGTTTTTAATGGACAGAATTATTCATACTTTGAAAAAGCAACTCTACTGACTGTGAATATGGACATGTTAAAAACTTAAAATTCAAGTTGTAAATGACTTTAACAGTCGAGGTTAAATTCAGTTCTGCATTTTTAAAACCCTTTACTACAATGCTTCCCTTTTTGTGTTTGTGTTTGGAAGTAATAAATGTTGAACATGGACCCAGGTCTCTGCTCTGTGATGGCTCTAGTTGGTTATCTTTATTGTCTCTCGGTAATGATTATAAATGATCTTGATTCATATTTTCATTCAAGATGTCTGAATTGATAACCCTATATTTAAAATAAGGTTTTGACAATGAAACTTTCGTCAATCAGAGTTAAATAGCATAAGTTACAAAAATGCATTTTGCCTCCATTATTATATTTATCAATTTATGTTTTGATAACTCCTGTTCTGTTACACTGTACAGTTTAGTCTGGATTATATAATGTGCAACTTTCTTAAACTTATCTATTATCAAATGATTTTACATAGTTTAAAGTTGTTAATTTCAGTAAAACTATTACACATTTTTGATGAACTATCTAGGTTTTAACAATTATAGATGATATTATTTTCAGGTTCAACAAGTAATGTTGTCACTACTCCTAAGCTTACACCAGCAGAAGGTAAGTTTATTTATTTATTTAGATACATTATGTATATTTTTTCTATATTTGTAGATTTTCACCTGTATTTTACAGTAGACATTCCTGCTCTAGAATATTATGAGACTGATGTTATATTGTTGTTGTAGAATGTCAGAAGGCCAACTCTAGTTGTGATACATGTGTGAAGGTGGGGTCTGTACAGGTATGCTTAGTTCTACTTACATATTAAAATAAGATTATGTGTTGATGTTTTTACATGGCATGACTTGAAATACAGAGAATGTTTACAGAGGGACAACTTTCTCCATGTTTACAGGTTAAAAGTCTCTGTATCATGCAAATCACTTGTGTTGGTGTGACTTAGTATGTGTGTAATTCATTCAATAACTTTCTCATGAGAATGGTATATCATAAAAAAGGATTGTAAAATGTGTTTATTTTGTCCCGGGAAGTATTGAATATAAATATATTATTAGATACTATTGTCATTATAAATTTATTGCATGATTAAAATCTCTCACATACTGAAAACTACAATTTAAAAAAAAAACATAAAAGAAAACTAAAGCAGCTTGCTTTACTCAGAATTTCTCATTAAGGTGTCATCACCACTTGAATGAAATATGTAATTGTTAAATTTTATAACTTCCTTAAGTTTTATGAAAAGGTTGAAATGTGATAGTTTGTGTAAAGTGTTGATATATTGTATTTGACAGTGTGTGTGGTGTGCATCATCTAGCAAGTGTATGTTGAAGGAACATGTGATACCAACATCTGAATGTGGTCTTGCTGATGCTAAATGGGCTGTCTGCTGGGGTAAAATATAACATATGTTCAACAAATATCTTCTTGCTTTGAGATATAGTAAAGATAAATGATTCGGTCATATTTTTAAGATGTATGACGCTTCAAAAAAGGATTGATTTACATTTATTTACAACCTTTTAACAAAAATATGTACGAAAACATGTATGCCTATCTTTAAGGCAAACAGAATGTTGTGTGGGTGAAACTGGTAGGCAGCAAAAGGGTTGTAAAATATTCACAATACATGTGACGTATGACCTGTTCATAATTTCATGCCGACTACAACAGAATTTACTCACATGTCTTTTGATTACATTTAAATACCTGTAAGTTAGATGATGATACAAAAAAAATGTAGTTGAGGAAAACTTTCAAATTATTCAGACATTTAACAATTGATAGAAAAAATACTGACCAGTTTATGTTATTGAAATCTTAATCTCATAGTAACATAACTTTCCCCTGACTCATGGCAAACAACATGTATGACACTTATAAAAAGATGTCTAAGTTTTTTAAAACAAACTTAAAAGTCCACCAAGTTTCCTAATCTGAAGTTTACATATGAGTTTGTGTGAGACGTGCTACACCTATGAGCTATGTATTAACATACTGTATTGTATATTAGGAATTTATTGAATATATAAACAATATGGTGAGTTTAAGATTTCTACACTTCATAACCATCAGCATGAATCTAGAGACTCTTCATCATGGATCTGAAAAGTCTTCTTATATTAGTATATCAGCAATGAAGTAACAATTAATCTAATGATAAACTTATAAGAGTATGAGGTTGTACTAAATGTTTATATTGTGGTAAACTACAAGGAACTGTTTTAGTTCTGATACCAGGTATATAATATAATGAGATAATATAAGTGTTGTTTATTTTCTAGTTAACTACAAGGAACTGTTTTAGTTCTGATACCAGGTATATATTATAATGAGATAATATAAGTGTTGTTTATTTTTAGCTCACCTGTCACAAAGTGACAGGGTGAGCTTTTGTGATCGCTTTTCGTCCGGCGTCCGTCCGTCGTCCGTCCGTCGTCCGTCCGTCCGTAAACTTTTACTTTAAATGACATCTCCTCATAAACCACTAAGCCAATTTCATCCAAACTTCACTGGAATGTTCCTTTGGTGGTCACCTTTAAAAATTGTTCAAAGAATTTAATTCCATGCAGAACTCTGGTTGCCATGGCAACCAAAAGAAAAAACTTTAAATATCTTCTTTTAAAAAACCGAAAGAGCTAGAGCTTAGATATTTGGCATGAAACATCTTCTAGTGAGTGTCTACCGAGATTGTTCAAATAAAAGCCCTGGGGTCAAAATTGGCCCCGCCCCAGGGGGTCATTGATTTTCCCTATATGTATATAGTAAAAACTTAAAAAATCTTCTTTTAAAGAACTCAAAGAGTTAGAGCTAAGATATTTAGCATGAAACATGTTCTAATGGGTGTCTACCAAGTTTGTTCAAATAAAAGCCCTGGGGTCAAAATTGGCCCCGCCCCAGGGGGTCATTGATTTTCCCTATATGCATATAGTAAAAACTTAAAAAATCTCCTTTTAAAGAACCCGAAGAGCTAGAGCTTAGATATTTGGCATGAAACATCTTCTAGTGAGTGTCTACCAAGATTGTTCAAATAAAAGCCCTGGGGTCAAAATTGACCCTGCCCCAGGGTGTCATTGATTTTCCCTATATGCATATAGTAAAAACTTAAAAAATCTTTTTTTAAAGAACCCAAAGAGCTAGAGCTAAGATATTTAGCATGAAACATCTTCTAATGAGTGTCTACCAAGTTTGTTCAAATAAAAGCCCTGGGGTCAAAATTTGCCTCGCCCCAGGGGGTCATTGATTTTCCCTATATGCATATAGTAAAAATTTAAAAATCTTCTTTTAAAGAACTCATGGAGCTAGAGCTAAGATATTTAGCATGAAACATGTTCTAATGGTTGTCTACCAAGTTTGTTCAAATAAAAGCCCTGGGGTCAAAATTGCCCCGCCCCAGGGGGTCATTGATTTTCCCTATATGTATATAGTAAAAAACTTAAAAAATCTTCTTTTAAAGAACCAAAAGAGCTAGAGCTAAGATATTTAGCATGAAACATGTTCTAATGGGTGTCTACCAAGTTTGTTCAAATAAAAGCCCTGGGGTCAAAATTGGCTCCGCCCCAGGGGGTCATTGATTTTCCCTATATGTATATAGTAAAAACTTAAAAAATCTTCTTTTAAAGAACTCAAAGAGCTAGAGCTTAGATATTTGGCATGAAACATCTTCTAGTGAGTGTCTACCAAGATTGTTGAAATAAAAGCCCTGGGGTCAAAATTGGCCCTGCCCCAGGGGGTCATTGATTTTCCCTATATGTATATAGTAAAAACTTTAAAAAATCTTCTTTTAAAGAACTCAAAGAGCTAGAGCTTAGATATTTGGCATGAAACATCTTCTAGTGAGTGTCTACCAAGTTTGTTCAAATAAAAGCCTTGGGGTCAAAATTGGCCACGCCCCAGGGGTTCATTGATTTTCCCTATATGTACATGTACATGTATATAGTAAAAACTTAAAAAATCTTCTTTTAAAGAACTCAAAGAGCTAGAGCTAAGATATTTAGCATGAAACATGTTCTAATGGGTGTCTACCAAGTTTGTTCAAATAAGAGCCCTGGGGTCAAAATTGGCCCCGCCCCGGGGGTCATTGATTTTCCTTATAATTATATGTGTATATCAAAAACTTAAAAAGTATTCTTTGAAAAACCTAAATAGCTAGAGTTAAGATATTTAGCATGAAACATCTTCTAGTGAGTGTCTACAAAGTTTGTTCAAATAAAAGCCCTGGGGTCAAAATTGGCCCTGCCCTGGGGGTCATTGATTTTCCTTATATGTGTATAGGAAAAACTTTAAAAAACATCTTTGAAAAAACACAAATAGCTAGAGTTTAGATATTAAGCATGAAACATGTTCTAGTAAGTGTCTACAAAGTTTGTTCAAATAAAAGCCCTGGGGTCAAAACTGGCCCCGCCCCAGGGGTGTCATTGTTTTTAACTATATGTGTATAGTAAAAACTTAAAAAATCTTCTTTGAAAAAACACAATGAGCTACAGCTTAGATGTTTAGCATGAAACATCTTCTTATGGGTGTCTACCAAGTTTGTTCAAATAAAAGCCCTTGGTTAAAATTGGCCCTGCCGGGGGTAGGGGAGGGCAGATCATTGTTTTTCATTATAAGTGTGTACGTCATGAAACGTCCTCTTATAGGTGTCTTCCAAGTTTGTTCAAATAAAAGCCCTGGGGTTTAAACTGGCCCCGCTCCGGGGGCCTACATACAGGTGAGCGACCTTAGGGCCATCATGGCCCTCTTGTCTAGTTAACTACAAGGAACTGTTTTAGTTCTGATACCAGGTATATATTATAATGAGATAATATAAGTGTTGTTTATTTTCTGGTAAACTACAAGGAACTGTTTTAGTTCTGATACCAGGTATATAATATAATGAGATAATATAAGTGTTGTTTATTTTCTGGTAAACTACAAGGAACTGTTTTAGTTCTGATACTAGGTATATATTATAATGAGATAATATAAGTGTTGTTTATTTTCTAGTTAACTACAAGGAACTGTTTTAGTTCTGATACCAGGTATATAATATAATGAGATAATATAAGTGTTGTTTATTTTCTAGTTAACTACAAGGAACTGTTTTAGTTCTGATACCAGGTATATATTATAATGAGATAATATAAGTGTTGTTTATTTTCTAGTTAACTATGAGGCACTGATCATAGCTTGCAGTGTAATTGGTGGAGTCCTGATATTAGGACTAACTATCTGTATCTGTTGTTGTTGTTGCTGTAAGGGTAACAAAAATGCCAAGTAAGTGCAGACAAACAACTCCTATAATAGTGTTCAAACTATTTCTGTATATATATGTTTCTATATTTTAAATAAAAACAAAAAATCAATTAGAATTGAACATACTTTGAAATAGATTGTTATTCTCTGCATGTTTTATCTATGAGGCATACAGTTGTAGGTGTGTTTTCCCTTCATCTTACTGTCACTTTTGGTGTGATTTTGGTCTAGTTACTGAGACTATAATTTGACTTTCCTGCTTGTTCTAAAAGTTTTTAACATTGTCAAAGCATCATGCTGGAGTGTTTAGAGTTCCTGTGTTGTATGAAGTTATCATGTAAGCTTACAGGTGATGAAAGTTAACCCTGAAATAATAAATGTATGAGTATGTGAAATGTTCCACCGCCAGTCACAAATATTACATTAACAGTGTCTGTGTGACAACATCCAATCCTAGACCTAGTTATAATAGATGAAAACACTTCCCTATTATAATAAGATGAGAACACTTCCCTATATTAATATCAATGCTATAACATAAACTTTTTAGGTATGCTAAGGAAGATGCCAAGTATGAAAGAAAGAAAACTGAAATGAAGGCAGGACAGGCAGAGAGGTATGTCACTGTATAATTGCACATGTTTTATTTGCTACTTATTCTTGTTTGGTTAAAAAGAGTTGAAAGATCGACTGGTATTGCAATACTGAGGCTTTTTATCATAAAAATGCCAACATTTTCTCTAAAATATTGTATAAAACACAAGTGCATTTATGTCAATGCAAGTGTCAAATTGTTTGTACTAACCCACTACCATTATATTTTAGATATTTTTCTTTAACCCATTACTTCATGAGCATTTTGTGAAAAATGGCTGTTTTCATTGAAAAGTCTCCCGTTCCAAGTTCAAATTGCTATAATACTATAAAAACTGCTTCAACACTAATCAAACTTGGCACAAATGTTGACTGGACCATTGCCCTTGCAACAACATGCTCAGGCTTAAATTTTCTGTTACCATGGCAACGAGGGGACATCTCAAAATTGCCAAAAATCACTATTTTGCGTTCGATTTTTTCCATCATAATTGATTTCAAAGTGCTGCAACTTCTCAATGGATTGAGATAGAGTCAAATGCTTTTCAAGCGTTGGTTACACGTTACCTTAATGATCAATCTGAGGTCATTTATAGCCTCTCACAAGTCCAAAATTTTCTTGGCGATGAGGGGGACTCCGCCCCCCTTCAAAACCCCCAACAGAAGGGGGGCACATCCCCGCTGATGTATCTTTATGGATTGGGGGGCCGCGCCGAAAAACTGTCACTTTTTTTAACAACAGTTCTCAAACAAAAACAAGTGTTGGGGGCCTAATAAGGCATTTTTTTCACCATTTGAGACAACAAAAAGGGGGGGGGGGGGGGGGGGGTGAAAAAGGCGTTAAAAGGCGTGTATATGAAGTAATGGGTTAATCTTAAAGTGGTAAAGTGTGCAATGTTATTTTTCTTTGTTCATAAAAATAGCAAAATATTGCTAGGGGACTTTTCATCAACCCAAGTTCCTATGTCTCTCTTTAATCACATGTATATTGCCTGATCATCATTCTTTAATATGAAGGAATTATTGATATATACATGACTAACATAGCCTGTGTCAGACAATTACCATGTGATCAAACATTACCCTGTTTCCTTCATAACCTGAAATAACTGTAAAAAATAAGCTATATTGTACAACAAACAGAAAATTAGTGTTTTTAATTTCAACATCATTGAGACAACAGTGAAGAAAGGTTTCATTTTTTGTGAACTCAGCAGTAATAATATTTCAACCAATATGAATGTGTTGCAGGGATAAGTGTTGTTTTTAATTTGATATTTAAATGTCCACATAAAAAAATCTCTTAAAGCTTTTGAAATTGTGATTTTGGGAGACTTGTGAAAATATCCACTTCTACTGTACTTGTTTATGACTATCACTAGTGTCAGGGGTACATAAGTCTTGTCATTGATATGTAGAGATAACATCCTTTTCTCAATTACAAGTTTTCATCAAGGTTGTTCAAATTGAATGGCACACATATATGTGTTTTACTTTTGTTTATAATATTATATATATAACTGGCACAAACATGTATGTTTTACTTTTGTTTATGATATTATATATATAAATGGCACAAACATATGTATGTTTTACTTTTTTATTAGCTCGACTATTTGAAGAATATGAGAGCTATTGTAGTCGCCCCGGCGTCGGCATCAGCGTCCGCGTAGGCGTCTGAGTTGGTTAAAGTTTTTTGTAAATTCAAATATATCAATTATTGCTTGAGATATTCAATTGAAATTTACAATACTTATTTATAGTAACAATGTACATCAGATTGACAAGTTGGATAACTCTGCCTACAATATTGACAGAATTATGCCCCTTTTCAACTTAAAAATTTTGGTTAAAGTTTTTTGTAAAGTCAAATATCTCAATTATTGCTTGAGATATTCAATTGAAACTTACAATACTTATTTATAGTCACAATGTACATCAGATTGACAAGTTGGATAACTCTGCCTATAATATTTACAGAATTATGCCCCTTTATAACTTAGAAATTTTGGTTAAAGTTTTGTAAAGTCAAATATCTCAATTATTGCTTGAGATATTCAATTGAAATTTACAATTTTTTATAGTAACAATGTACATCAGTTTGCAAAATTGCATAACTCTGCCTGCAATATTTGCAGAATTATTTGCCCCTTTGAAACTTAGAAATTTTGGTTAAAGGTCTTCAAAGATATTTACTTGAAACTTTACACATGTACTTAGGGTCATAATTGGAGAGTCATAATTGTATGTCACTGACCAAGTTCCATAACTCTACTCGCATTTAGGCTGATTCATCTCCCCTTTTCTACTTAGTCTCTTGGTTAATGTTTACATGCAAGTTTAACATATCTCAATAACAATTAAAGATATTTATCTAAAACTTCACATATGCATTTAGAATCATAATTGTAGGTCACTGACCAAGATCCATAATTCTATCTTGCATTTAGGCTGATTTTTCTCCCCTTTTTCAACTTAGAAATTCATGGTAAAGTTTTGCTTGTAAGCTGTTATCTCCATAACTACTGAAGAGTTTGTGCCTTTTTTTTAGACATTTTTATGCATTCATAATAATAAAGCAGTGTTTTTCTTGATAAAACATCTTAATAACAAGCCTTTGTACCTTTTCGGTCAATTTTATGTATTCATAGCTAGCATTATTATACTCAATAAAACACCCTTGTGACAATTTTTGAATAGTCGGGCCAATACTGTCCTCCGACAGTTCTTGTAATATTATATATAAATGGTATAAAAATATGTAAGTTTTACTTTTGTTTATAATATGCATATAAATGGCACACAAATATGTAAGTTTTACTTTTGATTACAATATTATATATAAATGGATATTTTTGTGTGTATTAAAGGAGAGCAGAAAGAAAGGCAAAGACAGATGAAATCAGGAAAAAATATGGTACGTATTCCTTTATTGTTGTTTATTGTATCTTTCAGGAAACATGTGTTGGGTTATAAGAATGATATTGAGGAGTATACTGAAGTGGTTTATATAACCATAAAGTATATGACCTACTGTATCTAGAAATACATACATTAGTAAAACACCCTTGTATAATAAAATACAACTTACTCTCACTGTTATATAACAAAATTTCAGTAACTTTCTATTCCTGACAGTTTCAATATGTAGTATTGCTAGATATACAGATAAAGTTATAGGAATTCTAATAGTCTACCTTTTAATGTCTAAAATTATATATGAGGGGATGTTTTCCTCTGTTAGTAAAATTGTATGATGGAGTAAAAGCTATTTTTGTATATTTTTTGCTCACCTGTCACAAAGTGACAGGGTGAGCTTTTGTGATCGCATTTCGTCCGGCGTCCGTCTGTCCGTAAACTTTTGCTTTAAATGACATCTCCTCATAAACCACTAAGCCAATTTCATCCAAACTTCACAGGAATGTTCCTTTGGTGGTCACCTTTAAAATTGTTCAAAGAATTTAATTCCATGCAGAACTCTGGTTGCCATGGCAACCAAAAGAAAAAACTTTAAATATCTTCTTTTAAAAAACCCAAAGAGCTAGAGCTTAAATATTTAGCATGAAACATCTTCTAATGGGTGTCTACCAAGTTTGTTCAAATAAAAGCCCTGGGGTCAAAATTGGCCCCGCCCCAGGGGGTCATTGATTTTCCCTATATGCATATAGTAAAAACTTAAAAAATCTTCTTTTAAAGAACCGAAAGAGCTAGAGCTAAGATATTTAGCATGAAACATGTTCTAATGGATGTCTACCAAATATGAGTCCTGAGGTCAAAATTGGCCCGCCCCAGGGGGTCATTGATTTTCCTTATATGTGTATAGCAAAAACTTAAAAAAAACTTTTTTGAAAAAAACCCCAAATAGCTAGAGTTTAGATTCTAAGCATGAAACATCTTCTAGTAAGTGTCTACCAAGTTTGTTCAAATAAAAGCCCTGGGGTCAAAATTGGCCCCGCCCCGGGGGTCATTCATTTTCCATATATGTGTATAGCAAAAACTTAAAAAATCTTCTTTGAAAAAACTCAAATAGCTAGAGTTTAGATATTAAGCATGAAGCATCTTCTAGTGAATGTCTACCTAGTTTGTTCAAATAAAAGCCCCGAGGTCAAAATTGGCCCCGTCCCGGGGACATTAATTTTCCGTATATGTGAATAGGAAAAACATAAAAATCTTCTTTGAAAAAACCCGAATAGCTTAGGTTTAGATATTAAGCATGAAACATTTTCTAGTAAGTGTCTACAAAGATTGTTCAAATAAAAGCCCTGGGGTCAAAACTGGCCCTGCCCTAGGTGTGTCATTGTTTTTATCTATATGTGTAAAGAAAAAACTTGAAAAATCTTCTTTTAAAAAACCCAACGAGCTAGACCTTAGATGTTTAGCATGAAACATCTTCTAATGGGTGTCTACCAAGTTTGTTCAAATAAAAGCCCTGGGGTTTAAACTGGCCCCACTCCAGGGGCCTATATACAGGTGAGTGACTTCAGGGCCATCATGGCCCTCTTGTTATACATATTATTTTATTTTGAGGATTATATTAAGAGAACTTTAATTACTTTGTTTGTTAACAGGATAATATTTTCTCTTAAAAAAACTTAAAATTTTCTTGAAATTCTTGCCCCCACACTGCAGTATACTGATTTCAGTAGTAGCACGTCTTGAAGAAATGATTGTATGATATTGTAAGATAAGATCTGTATACTGTTTCTATTATGGCTCATCAAGGATTACGAGGTAATGTATATTGAGCAAACATTTTATTCATTGTCATTGCTTTTAGACATATGTGCATTTAGAGCAGATTAAATTTTGTTAAAACTATGGTAACTTAAATAGTATTTAGGTTATGATTTTGTTTCCAGATTTATTTTGATACATTTGCCATTTGTCCTTCCTTCATTCCATTATTCTATCACACTTACTGTTCCCCATAGTGCCTTCATTGATTGACTGATAGATACTGAAATATTTATTGTGTTATTATCTACCATGGTACTCGGCCATTTGTAGCAGTTCAGTTTAATTTTGTTAAGGTCATTCAGGCTATATATAGATATTCCTAGTTTCCTCATAGTAAGGTCATGTTTTCATTCCTTTTCCTAAAGGGACATTAGATACATTAGTATTTCTAATACTCATGTTTTAATGTTTTATTTTTTATTGAACTGATAATGACTCCTTTGTGTATGTACTAGCAACAATTTTCTGATTTAGATATATTTATTTATTACAATATTTTTGTCATCTTTTTGTTCTTCATTATTGTTTAATTTTGTAAGGACTTCTGTGGTTGAGTTGTTTATGTTGCTTATTTCAAATTTCTTGTCCCATACTGCTCTCAGGGATTTTTGGACTGTTACATGTGAGGAAGTTATTTAGCTAGCTAGCTCACAGATGGACTGTCATTGATTTAACCTGGAGCTCCCACTCATGTTTGAAATTTTCTGAAAAACCTGTACAGTCACTATACATTGTTTTACCTTTGACTTTATAGGTATAAAACTATATCTAATGAAATATATTTCCAAAATGAGTGAATGCTAAAATTATTTTGTTTCAATAAATTTATGGTTGACTCTGGAAAGAGTTATTAACAGCCATAGATATTGTACATAAACTGAATAAAATGTTCCTGGTCATAAATATTGTACTGCTGTTTTATGATTTTGTGCATTGCCATCTGCTGTAAAAAATAGATGAACATGTTTCTTACATGATACTGAATTTGGTGTATATAACATTTTGATAAAAACATTTGTGTAGGTATAGACAATGATGTGTTTATATGATTGTGTATGTATAGACAATGATGTGTTTATATGATTGTGTAGGTATAGACAATGATGTGTTTATATGATTGTGTAGGTATAGACAATGATGTGTTTATATGATTGTGTATGTATAGACAATGATGTGTTTATATGATTGTGTAGGTATAGACAATGAAGTGTTTATAATGATTGTGTAGGTATAGACAATGATGTGTTTATATGATTGTGTAGGTTTAGACAATGATGTGTTTATAATGATTGTGTAGGTATAGACAGTGATGTGTTTATATGATTGTGTATGTATAGACAATGATGTGTTTATATGATTGTGTAGGTATAGACAATGATGTGTTTATATGATTGTGTAGGTATAGACAATGATGTGTTTATATGATTGTGTAGGTATAGACAATGATGTGTTTATATGATTGTGTAGGTATAGGCAATGATGTGTTTATATGATTGTGTAGGTATAGACAAGAATGATGTGTTTATATGATTGTGTAGGTATAGACAGTGATGTGTTTATATGATTGTGTAGGTATAGACAATGATGTATTTATATGATTGTGTAGGTATAGACTATAGACAATGATGTATTTATATGATTGTGTAGGTACAGACAATGATGTGTTTATATGATTGTGTAGGTATAGACAAGATGTGTTTATATGATTGTGTATGTATAGACAATGATGTGTTTATATGATTATGTAGGTATAGACAATGATGTGTTTATATGATTGTGTAGGTATAGACAATGTATAAACAGTCAAACTTTTGAGATGTATGTATAATTTATTTTCAATGACCTTATTTTTGGCTTGACTATATACAAATATACATGTATATAGGGAGAGCTGTCCTACTCACCTGAGCATCTGTTCACACCATGTTTAAGTTTTTTGTATCACCCCATTTTTGTGTCGCCTTGAAAAGGTGACATATAGGGGTTACTTTTGTCGGCGGCGTCGGCGGCGTCTGTGTCGGCGGCGTCGTTGTCGGCGTCGGCGTCCCCTAAAGCTTGTCCGGAGCATAACTCAGTCACTATAAGTCTGATTGACTTCAAACTTGGTATGCATGCTTCTTTCAATAACCCGAAGTGCAGTGCACAAGGACCGGTACTCTGAAGTTCTTATTTTTTGAGTTATTGCCCTTGTTAATTTTTATACTTTAATTTTGTCCGGGCCATTTCTCTTCAACTAAAAAAGCTATGGACTTGAAACTTCATAGGATGATAGATTTCATTAAGACGAAGTGCAGTGCACAAGAACCGGTACTCTGCACTTCCTAATTTTTGAGTTATTGCCCTTTGTTAATTTTCATACTTTATTTTTGTCCGGGCCATATCTCCTAATGTATAAAAGCCATAGACTTTAAACTTCATAGGATGATAGGTCTCATTAAGAAGAATTGCAGTGCACAAGAACAGGTACTCTGCATTTGTTATTTTTTGAGTTATTGCCCTTTGTTTATTTTCATACTTTAATTTTGTCCGGGCCATTTCTCCTTAAGTATAAAAGCTATGGACTTGAAACTTCATAGCATTATAGATCTCATTAAGAAGAAGTGCAGTGCACAAGAATCGGTACTCTGCATTTCTTAATTTTTGAGTTATGGCCCTTTGTTAATTTTCAATCATACATAATTTTTGTCCAGGCCATTTCTCCGAAAGTATAAAAGTTATGGACTTGAAACTTCATAGGATGATAGATCTCATTAAGAAAAAGTGCAGTGCATAAGAACTGATATTCTGCATTTCTTATTTTTTGAGTTATTGCCCTTTGTTGATTTTCATACTTTATTTTTGTCCTGGTCATTTCTCCTCAAGTATGAAAGCTATGGACTTGAAACATCATAGAATGATAGATCTTATTGATAAGAAGTGCAGTGCACAGAAACTGCTGCTCTGCACTTATTATTTTTTTAGTTATTGCCCTTTGTTATTTTTCATATTTCATTTTTTGTCCTGGCCATTTCTCCTAAACTACATTGTTCACAAGGCGACACATCCGACTCGCGGAGTTCTAGTTTCATAGAACCCATTGAAATATTGCATCAAAACTTTGAATGACCCCCTTCAAGAGTACTTTATTTTGCTCCTTTTTGTCATGTGTGATTTTGAACTTTTGGGTATGATTTTTGATCCACTTCACTCCTTCAATGAACTTTTTGAGATATTACTTTGAAACTTGGTTTATACAAAATTTATTTTTGTTTGATCATGAAGGAAGCTATAATCCTATAGTCACAGTCTCTAATATTTCCTAGAACCAAGCAGTACTGAGCAATGAGTGTAAAGTCACTTACTTAAGGAAACAACAGCTTGGCTGTGACGGGGTTTGAATCACCATGGTGAAAGATCTTTAGATAACCAGTCACATACATTAGCAACTTGTCCAACACTGCCATGAAAATACACATCACTCATCTAAAGATGTGACAAAATAATGCCCACTTTCAATTCATTTATTAATTAGTTTTTTGTACCATCTCACTTTTTCATATCAAACCCTATGAGTAAATAACTCATTCAGGGATTTTGACATAAGTATATCCCATTTTGGACTCATCATTTCAAAGACCTGTCAGGCACTGAAAATAGTCTAGCTGTTTCAAAGATACGTGATTTTGTATTCCAAGTAATACTAATGGCGTTAGGGTATCAGTCTATTCTAATGTAGTGCAAATATTATTCTGATTTGTATCATTATCTTGCCTTTATCTTGAACTTACATATAATCTTCTGTCCTTAAATCTTGGCTGTATAAAATTAAAACTGAACATAATGTTTTATAGAGAGTTCAAGAAATGTAGTAATGATTGTTATTTTAAAATATAATAACATGATAAAAGACAAGTGTTTTTAGCTTGAATATTTTATTTAAATAATGGGCAGAGCTATCTAAAACTTTTGTTTAAGTTTTTTATACCACCATTATGCCCCTTTTTCAACTAAGAAAAAGTTTGGTACCGCACCACTTAATTCCTATACCATTTGTTAGTGACAATCATGACCACTTCCAGGCAGTTATTTGTAATAGTAGAGCATGCTGTCTTACGGACAGCGGTTGTTACATCATTGAATTTGTGTAATATACTTCTCCTGCTTTGATATTTGGAAGGTTCATTGGTAATTTTAAGGGATGGAAAATGTAAAGTTGAGTTGCAGACACTATATAGCAATGTTAGACTAGATTTCTGTGCAGGGTGACCTGGCTGGCTCTCTCCAATTTACATGGTCAGTCGCTAGTGCTGAGAGTTAATTTACATTCTACATTAATATAAACCTGTGTTCAATGTTTTGTTAGTTCACACTGGCCATATATTTACCACTATAGTTCTCTATCCCTCAGTTTATAACAATGTTATCCTTAACTACAATATCTGGCTATGTTTTTGTAAGTAAAATTTATGTATATCATGGTTATTAATCATTATTCTGTACTTCATAAGTTTGTATATATTTGAGTTTAAACAATTTATTGTTACCTCTTAAAGCAAAAAATCTTACTATATCAGCAGCTTGTCAAATCATTTATCACATGTATAATGCATTATCTCATTAATTTTCAGGCTTGATCAAGGAGGACAATCCATATTCAAGATTTGAGAACCAATAGACAAGAGTTATCTACCTTAAACATCAGTGTAAAGAACAAGAGAAAAACAAGAACTAACAACTTTTACAATGATAATTTATAGCAAAGAAAATGAATGATAAATATAAGATGTAAAGACTAGGAAACATTGCAATTACAAGGCATACCACAATTCAAGCTTTGGTTTGATTTTTTGCTTGGAATTGTTTTGTGTATTTTCATTGATTTAAAATATATCTTCTCTTGATATTAGTGTACAGAAACTTACAGTTTTCATTTTTGCTTTTCTTTTTTTGTGTGTTTGATTTTGTTCCTTCTTCTCATATTGTAAAGTATGGTAATTTTCTGAGCTTTGATTACTTACTGTAAATATAACCAATTTCATTACCTTAATTTCTTCACAATTGAAATCTTTTTTTCCTGTTTTAGCCATATTTTGTAAAAGGCTTTATTATTAAAAGAATTGAAATTGAAAGTTGTGACCAAGCATTAATAAAATGAAAAGAATTTTTGATTGATTGAAACAAGTTACAAGAATTTATTGTTTTAGAACATTGATAAAGTAACATTTTCAGGTCAAACTTAATAGAATTTAAACTTTTCATTTTACATTTTCATGTAAAGATATGTAAGTAGCTGATTTGTTTTTTTGTTTGTAATCAAGAAATTTGTTTTGATTTATGAATTACTTTTTTTAAAATTCAAGTCAATTTAAAGATTATGTACATTAAAGTCAAATCTACAATTAATAGTCAATGAATACAGTTCTGGTATATGACTGATGACAATAATATGTATGGTGTGAATACTGTATATGGTGGAAATGTCACACTTGGTAACTTAAATTGACAGTTCTTTTATGAAGTAGACTGCTCAAAGATAGAAGTGTCTTCTACATTCCATGATAAAATAGTGTTGACGAATACATTGCGTTTATACTCTCAAATTGAAACATACAGAAATATTGTGTATCAATATTAACTGTATCAAATACTAAGACATGAATATATTAATATCATCACAACATCGGTGCTTAAAATTTAACTTCACATATCAATATATTAAATGAGGAATTATTTTCTTAATAAATAGATTATAACAGTTTATCTGTATTTTCACTACATACACTGGGGAAAGAGTATCAATTAAGGTGTGAGCTTTTTGTGTATCTATTTATAGGGATCATTCCGTCTGTTCTCCATCCATCACAAAACTTGTCTGGACTACCCCTCAAAAGTGCTGATGCAATTTCAGCCAAACTTTACAGGAATGATCAGTACCAAATATTGTTGTGCAAATCAGCGTCATTTTCCGATGCAATGATTTTTGTCAGAGTTATGGGTTATGGCCCTTTAATGATTTTTATTTTTAAAGTTTGTCCGAACTACTCCTCTTATACCACTAATGCAATTTCATTGAAATTTCACAAGATTGATTGGTGGGTGAATCTCTTGTGCATCTTACATGGGTTTTCGGCTTGAGAGATTTTTGGCCAAATTATGGCCCTTGATGAATAAAAAAGGTGTTAATAAAGGCACTTTATCTGGACTACTCCTCTTATACCACTAATGCAATTTCAATGAAACTTTACAGGATTTATTACAAGTACTTGCACATATTACACAGGTTTTTTGGTTGAATGATTTTTGGCTTGGAATAAAAAATGTGTTTTGTGTCTCCTGCTACACATTAGCAGGATCATGCAATTGGCTATCATGAGGCGACAAATGTGATCACTGATTGCTCTTGATTATTCTTAAAAATAGCAATTTTTGTACTATTTTTATACAAAATGTTTGGCAGAAATAAACTTAAAATGTCTGTGATAAAAGATGTCTAACTGCTTGTTGTATAGATTTTTTTATTTGTTGAAATGTTGCATCATTGTTATCCTATACTTAGTCACAAAAATGTCATACATTTATCATAACAGTGTATTAAAACTGAAGTGTCACAAGTATTGTACTGTAACTGTATATTTTTTTTCTAAATACACTGCAGCCCCATTATAACATGTAGAGGTGCGCGGTTTAACCGGTATACCGGTAAACCACGGTCCGAGACATCTGCGGTACGTACCGCGGTACAGACCTGGAAAACCGGTACTTTTAGCTCTAATTTAAAGCAATTACAGATCCGTAAAATGTACTAAATTAAAAAACTTTTTCTGTTGTATATGTTAATGTTTCTTTGAGTTAATCTTTTAGCAAACAAATTTTGCCGACTATTATCATTCTTCGATATTTCTTAGCGAAAATTGAATGCTTTATCAATTACCGCATGTAAGCCAGAATTGTCGACTTGCATGATCTCAGTTGAAGAAGCAAAAATTGTCGACTTACATTTACTCGTCCAAATATCGCTTATTTCGTAAAGATTGATAATTCATGAGGGCATTCCTTGCATTACTAGGCCATCCTTAAAAAAATGTTTGTTTGCAGTAACCCGACCCAGAATTTTCAAGGTGGGTAGGTAGGTCGATTTTTTTTTTTTTTTTTTTTTTTTTTTTTATTATTATTTAACTGTACTCCCAAATAAACATGGAATTTCAAAATGCTGGACAATATATGCTTTCATAATCTGGTAACAATTAATAAATTGATAAATGAATTTTAATTAAATAATACATACATTTTATTTCTTCTATTAACCTTTAAAAGAAAAAAACAAAGCACAAGGCATAATTTTCTGATTTAAAAAAAATAATTTTTTATCCAGACCATGAAAAAAACTTTTGAGTAGGGGCAAATTTTGTGAGTAGGTCGCGTTACTGCAAACAAACATTTTTTTAAGGATGGCCCAGTATTTTAAGTATTTATATAAAGAGCGACCAATCAGGCTAGGGGTTTTCCTTACGTCACGTACTTACTGCATGCGCATGGCAATTAACTAATTTTAGAACGGCGTAGAAACTGGTCGTTCAACTAATGAATATTGATTAAGCAGTAACATGGTCAGCTGTTTTCTATGTGATAATTTTAATCTGCTTTTGGGGTACATGTTTGTTTTGGTTTTTGGCACGGATTAATTAAATACTTAGCCCTTGCAATAAAAAAATTACAATAGCAGCTGGGACTCTTTTATAAAATTAACCGACAAATAAATATTTGTCATCAGCTAACGTGCATTTTGACCTATTATTTTATTAATCAATAAGCAATAAAAACATTTTATTTTTCCATTTTAACTATGCAATTTATTTAACAGTTGTTAAATGTATGTAATAAAAAAACCCACAAGAACTGATCCATGACCCAATTAATTTATGATTGTCAACATGCGAAAGTACCTGATTGAAAAAAGTTAAATGGTGCTTTGATTAATCTGTATTTTATAGATCTGCTTAAATTAAATATTTGAAATTCTATACCAGCCTACCTTGATACTTATTTTAGGGATAAAAATTAACCTATAGCATACAATGAAAATCCGTGGTATACCGTGGTTTTTAGGAAAAAAACGTGGTATACCGTGGTATTTTCTTTCTGGCGGTACCCAACTCTAATAACATGCCCTTCTATAATGCAAACCTTTATTAAGACACTTATGAGTGCATAAGGTGTGAAAAGCATGCACAGGTTAAGAGTTAATCCGCTCTTGTTGTTTAACCTGTCAATCAGTCAGGCATCAGATTGTTATAAAAATTTCAAATTCATACAGTAACTGTGACATGCAAACATCGCTGAATTAAGTAAACCACACCCGCCCAAAAGCAATTTAAAAAGCCTGCATGATGTTTGATTAACTAAGGGACACAACTAAAACTGGAAGTTTTTACTTCACTGTCATTGAGATTTATGTTTGTTAATATAATATATATTTACATTATTAACTTATGAAAATTAATGTCGATATTCATTGAACTGTAAGTAAAAATCGTTAAGTGTTATATGTATCGGCAGTGGGAGGGGCAATACGGTAATTGCGATGAGCGTTATATACATGTATCTGCACCTCTAGAACGCTGTGTTGAGACCTTGGACCCCAATGTGAGCGTTATAACAGGCCTGCAGTGTAGTTTACATTCATTCAATTGATACATTTTACATAGGAAATTCATTTACTTGGCCTAATAATTGATAGTGAAATTTTATTTACTCAGTAAATGATACAAGAAATAGAAACATTTCACCAGTCAAAATACCTGATAAGTTTTCAGAGTGACAGTTTAAGATAGAGTTATTTTATATGTTACATAACCTTTATCTGAGAATATAATACAGCTTGTAGTGTAGGTGTCATTCTCCATATAATATATTCAATGTTTATATACATTATTATGCATTGTATGACGTGCCACTTCTAAAACTGCTTTGAGAATAATGTAAGAGTTATCAAGAAATCAAGACCACCCTTTTAAGTCTGCTTTATTCTTCAAATGTTTGATACAATACTAATCAACTACACATAATTGAAAATTCCATATCAAACAGTGTTTTATAAGTGTTTTATAGTAGTAGTTATGTATCGACCCAAATTTTAGTAGAGAAATTTTTTCCTACTCTTTTTTCTGTGAAATTCAGGCATTTAAAAAAATCTTAGTAAGTAAATGTTTTTATGGGTTAGTTTAAAGCTGCAATACGCAATGCTTTTAACTGAAAATAAAGAAACTTACCATTAAACTTTTTCTCTAAAAATACAATAATTAAGTATAAGAAATTGTCAAAATTTAGACTATGTTTTTGAGGAATTTTCATAACTATAATATCCTTCCTTTGATTTAAGAAATAAAAAGAAATTGAGTGTGGCACCTGCTACAGATCTTCATATGCATGTATAAACAATGATGTATGTCTTTGTTATGAGAGAAATATAAAATATCGTATATCAGGTTATTTTCGTGGGTATCTAATTTTCGCTATATTCGCATGCAATTAACATTGCAAAAAATAGATTCACCAAATTTTTCTTCAATTTAATGCAAAGATTTCGTGTGTTTCTTGAACTAAATTTTCTGCCCAGTATAGTTGTATTAATTTTACAATGTGGTTACTACAAATCAATTTGTCAAATATCAATTTGCGATCTTCTTGGTTGTTTAGAATTACATGTAAATGGTTTTTTTGCTTTTATTAAGTACATAAAAATTTGAAGTGACACAGTGAGCTTTGTTAACGTTTATTTAACCGATTGTCCAATATAATAAGATAATTCACTCCTTGTGAGTAGGTATACAAACATAGGCAGCTTAACATGTAAGCATTAAGTCGAGACGAGACAGTATGTGTGAAATACCGAATACATACTTGTCAGTATGAAAATTGTAAACAAATGTATACCTGTGAAAACAATACAAAAAACGAGAAAAAAAATTAATAAAATTAGATTACTGCCAGAATCCCTAAATTTGCCATACACCTAAAAAACCTGATATACGGTATGTGATTTTTTTTCCATGTTATTCACTACACACTTTGTAAACAAAATAAATACATGTGTATTTATAAAATTTATTATGCATATTGTGTGACATGTAAAGTTTCATTGTTAACTGTGAGAGACAGTGTATATATGAATGGTCAGTGTGCAGATATCATTAATTCAATGACTTCATTAACACGATTTAACAATGTACCAGTGATTTGTTTCAATAAAAAATATTTAATAGAGAATTTTGTCATGTTTCACATGTTGAACTGGTTGTGGGATTTCAATGAGGCTACACAGGAATGATCAGTAGTTGTGCATATCTCCCACACGTTCTGCTTGGTTGCACAAAATAGCTGTCAGAGCTAAAAATAGAAAAATCTAGGTTGAACTGAATGTAGCTATACAGGTGTGATCAGTATCATCCCGGCACATTCAGTGTCATCGTCACTGCACAAAATGGCCGCCAGAGCTTTAAATATAAAAATCTTGTCTGGCATACACAAGTCAAACTGCAAGTGGGATTTTGATGAGACTTCACAGGAGTGATCAGTACAATCCCTAGTTGTGTGTTGCCGGCATGTTCCACTTTTCTGCACAAAATGGCAGTCAGAGCTATAAATAGAGAAATCTTGTCAGGCTTTCAAAGGTCAAACTGCTGGTGGGATTTTGACCAAAATTCACAGGAGTGATTAGTACCATACCTTGTTCTGGGAGACATATGTTTTTGTGACAAAAACCCCTTCTACTTAAATACATGGAATGTTATGCAAAGTGCACTGTTGTTTTAACTTATTGAGTTCATTGACACTAAAATACTCTGCTAAATTTATGAAATAGACCTGTCCTGTATTAATTTGTAGAATTTCTACATCAGAATAATAAAATGTAACAACAAACATGAGAGGGCCTTGTCAGACTCCATGGTTTATAACATCCTGTAAATAATGTAAACATAAATATAAGAAGTATATAACTGCATGTCTTAAATATTCAAAGTCCATACTACATACAGTCGTGTAGTTACTGGTATATCCTAGTATTTATCTACAAGGTAGGGCTTGTAGAGTATCAAATCAGTTCAAGTAGACTAAAGATTCAGTGGTTTATTTATATGAAGGCACAATCATTATATGAATGAAGATTGTAAACAGAGATCCGGTATAAAATTAAAATTTTAAAGTGGATTGATATAAAGCGTTGAACTTGAAAGATGGGTTTTTCTGATAAGATTTTAAATACATTTTTTTAAGTGTTTGATCTTTCATTAAAGCGTAAAGTGTGGTCTCCCTTTTCTTACAGCTTTTTTAGCTCACCTGTCACAAAGGGACAGGGTGAGCTTTTGTGATCGCTTTTCGTCCGGCGTCCATCCGTCGTCCGTCCATCTGTAAACTTTTACTTTAAATGACATCTCATAAACCACGAAGCAAATTTCATCGAAACTTCACAGGAATCTTCCTTTGATGGTCACCTTTAAAAATTGTTCAAAGAATTTAATTCCATGCAGAACTCTGGTTGCCATGGCACCGAAAGAAAAAACTTTAAATATCTTCTTTTAAAAAACCCAAAGAGCTAGAGCTTAGATATTTGGCATGAAACATCTTCTAGAGAGTG